GGCGAAAAATTGCGGCCTGCTGCCGGTAAAATCAAAATCTTTATACGAAAAAACTTACTTCGAATATATCAAATGGTGTAACATTGTTGTTTTTAATTTTTGACGTTTCATTATAGCCCGCTGGGCCATAATAAAGCCCGCGGGCTATAAAAAGACGTTTACGTCAAAGAATTTTTGTTATAATTGTCATATTATAATGTCATCGTGCATAAAATAACTAAATGTTTGGTTGGCTCTATTGAAACAACAGATTAAGTTAAATAAAAAAAAATAGTTGGGCTAACTAAAACTTTTTTCTGTGTATGCCAGCAAAACTAGTATCGGCCTTAGACAGTGAACCTAAAAAGTAGGGACTCCTTTCTTATTTTCCTGCCCACCGTGGAAGCGCTAGGTCTCAGTATAGATGAATGTACCATTAATAAGTCGTCCATTTAAAGGGTTCGATCACAAATGCAAAAGAAAAGGGCAGAATCGATAAATAGGATGTTTAAAACCTTTTAAAATCTTTTCATTGTGATGTAAAACTGCTTCCAGGGTTAGATGCACGAGTTCTATAGAAGAGCGTGACACCATACACAATACTGGTCGCTTTTATGGATCCATGGAGCTTGCGCATTGTTCGAACAAAATCTTAAAAGCAAGTATTAAAAAATGTGTTTAAAGCAAAAATACCTTTACCTCAAGTTAAGAAAAGTCTTTTCAAAAAGTTCAGAGACAACTGGTACAATATTAATTTTACTAACATTCAAACTTGCCCCGAATTTGTAAAACATCATATCAGTGACGAAGAAATCGACAAAATAGAAGCATTTTTAAGCATGAATTAAAAAAGTCTATTGTGAGAGCTGATCAAGATATCCATCATATTTTTAGGTGGCGATAAGGATACAATTCTTAAAATAGGGCCTCCTGGTGCCATCCATCAAACGCAAGAGCAATTTATTTTTTTTAAATATGTTTGTTGAAGTCTACATTCAAAATGACACAAAAAGAAATACAAGCAATGAGAGATGTTTGCTGGTTTATTTTAACCGTTTATGTTAGACCCTGGCCCTAATTTAGTATGACTGCTTTAACACTGCTTTAGCACCTCATGTAGATTTGGGCTTTTTGAAAACATCGAAGAGCCACGAGAAAAGGTATATATAGCTATTTCCCAAGCAGTTTTGAAAAAGTTTTGTCAGAACTTGTGGTATTTGTCAGAGGAAATCGTAATATTATCGATTTTTGATGATTCGCGGATAGTAAAACCAAAAAGCGAATTGTGGATAATTTAAAAAGGGAAAGTTCTTGCCATTTACAGAAGAGGTAAAAAGGAAATGTCGAGAAACGTCGAAAACTTTATATGGTACGTTTTAATGTTATTCGCTTATATGCAATGATTTGTATTGTTGCTAATAAAAGCATGTATTGTTTTAGAAAATTAACAAAACGCAATTTGCGAAAAACTACTAGTGCGTAGCTCAATTGGTAAATTAAGAAATATGTCGAGTTTTGAGTGAACAATAATCATTATAAATTTCTAGTTCAATAACTAAAATAAATTGACGACACGATTAGAATGAAAAAGCATTGTTTCTCATTAGATTGAATAAAATATTTAAATTTTGATGTAAAATAAACTTGCTGCAGTAGAAATTTTGAGTTAAATAGTTAAAATAAATTTACGGCACGTCTGACGACACAAACGATTTTGTGATTGTGGGTAGGGGACTACAACATTAAATAACAGAAAAATACGAGTTTCTGGAAAGTATCTGCAAATTGTTTATTTAATATTTATAATTATTACAAAAAGATTATTTCCGATTTTCTATAAAAAAGAAGCGAATTTGCAGAATATTTCTTCCCAAAATAAATGAGTAAACTCTTTCGACTACTATATTATAATCGATTAGGGGTCATCCATTTATTACGTGAGGCAATTTTTGCGATTTTTCGACTCCCCACCACCCCTTGATGAGATTTCGTTAGATTTTGCTCGACCCCCTCCTCCCTTAATCTCACGTGAGATTTTTTAAAATGCATGGTTTTAATGTAAATAAGTTAATTGATTACATTAGATTTATTAAAAAAAAAAAACAATTGTTATAATTGTTTACTTAATTTAACCCAGTTTTTTCGCAATTTTACACTGTCTCATTCGAAAAGAAAAAATTACGTGATATTTGCCGAGACCACCCTCCCCCCACGTGAGAATGGGTGAGGTTTGGCTCGACCCCCTCCGCCCTAAATACCTCACGTAATTAATGGATGCCCCCTTAGGTGTTAGTCGGCATAAGCTGCAGCTGCAGTCAGGATTGGTTGGCAGCTAATAAAACTTTAATTAATGCCCTTTAGTGAATTTACAGAAAAATGAGGATCCTATAGTAGACTTTTAAATCTTTAAAAATGTTAAAATTACTTAATAATTTACCAAAAATTACGATTTTTTTTAAATCAGCGAAATTTAGTTCATTGGCAATATTCTAAAATTATCGAATCCTCGGAAAATTCTGACTGCGGAAAAGTTGGAGGTGTATGACACTATTTCAGAATTGGCCATGCGATCTCATTTTCTTAGATTTTGGTGAAAAGTTTTGTAAGATAAGAGTTGGTAATGATACTGCCGAACAGAAAATCAGACTTACTTATTCAAAAACATAAACAGCCACTGATCATGGACGAAGAACAGATGCTGTGTATTTTTCGCCTAGTAGCAAAATACCGGAAACAGTTTCCTGAACCATCCAATGTGACATAGTCTTTGAGTTAACTGTTTTATACTAATAATGTTTTTAATAAACAAACGTTTAAATGAATACGATTCCAAATTTAAAATTGTGTACCACTCATTTAGATGTCAGGGAATAAAAAAACTTGCGGAGACAAAATATTTAAAACTTTTTTATTCGACCACCCTAATACCTACCTATATTATATCCAAAATATACAAGCCTTCATGGCGGTAAAACTATTAAATGTTTTCCCAAATCGTTCTGGGTAAACATTAAGTAAGAAATTTCAGTTATTTTTTACACATTATTCTCCCATTTAATGGAAAAGCTTACGCATAAAACTTACTTACACGTGTACAAATTTGTCATTTTATGCCTATTTTATACTTGCATCTATGAAATATCGTATTATAAAAAGATATTTAAATTGATATCTGTTCTTGAATTGAAAGTAACGGAAAATAGAGAAATGCACCTGACATATTCGGTTTCTTTCTGAGGCCGAGTAGTAGGAAGTAGTAGATAAAATACTCGCGAAATAGGTAATCTATTTTAATCCTAAAATGCACTTAAATTTACATTTGATAACCTTCGGCAAATCATAAAAAGAATATTGAATAGCCAAGGGTAAAAAGGAATTTTTATTTAAACACAAGGAGTCTTTGTAGGTTCCTCAAAAACTCTCTACCTATAAAAAATCAGACACTACGATACATGATCAAACTCAACTTTCAATTTCCATATGCGGCGTATTCAGCAGACTTAGCCCATCTAGATTTTCCCTGCAAAAACATTTGGATGATTTCCAATTAAAGTCGAATGACGAGGTGATTAAGTCAAAACCGGTAATTTTTTTAATATGGAATTCGACAATTATTGCTTAAAAGATTGACGGACCAGACAAGTCAATTATTAAGTATTTTGACTGAACTAATACAAATTAAAAGCAAAAGTTAACTGTTTTTTGTAATGTTTTTTTCTTAATATAAATTGTATTGGGACACTATTGATAATTACAATAAAAAATACTGTAGCGATATTTTTAAGACTAATAACTAAATTATAATCATAATCATAATATCCCAGAAAACAAAAAAAGAAAGTTGCCAAAAACTATACAAAATTTGCAAAAACGAAGGGTAAGTAAATTTTATTATTTTGATCATAAAACCATCTAATAATAGTAGAGGATCCCAAGTAAGGTCGACCTTCACCCATCTGCTTACCAGATGAAAATTATATTTTATCAAATAAAATATGTTTCTGAACATAAACCAATAGGGTTGCCATAAAAAATATGATCAAGGCTAGCTATAATAAATAAAAAATTAAAAAAAAATAATTAATTTTTTAAATTTCACCGACTTGCTTGCCAAATGAACGAAATTCCAATGGAAAGCATACAACATACAGAATATGTAACAGCTAGGTTGCCTACCTTTTTCTGGTCCCTATTACCTGGTTGCTTTGTACAGGGTGATCCCCTATAATGTCGCCCCCCTTTAACTTTTTTATTTTAAGTGTCCCAAAAAATTTAAAAGTTTGGTTATGTAGGTACTAAAAAATACTTTTTTTCTACGTATAAAGAAAATTGGAAAATTGATCAGTATACAGGGAAAAACAAAAAATTTATTTTTTTTCAATGGATCACCGTATATATGAATTTATTTTTCGATTCCTTGTAAAATTCTGAGCATAATTTATATAACAAACCATATACCTAAATTCAACCGTTTCTGAAATATTCGCATTCGAAATGTCATCATTAAATGTTTTTTTAAACTGTTAGAAATCAAGAAGCCTCAGTATACCAAAATTTTTATTGAAAATAAATTACTATAGTGACATTATGTCAATAAGTGTTGTTAAATAAGTAAAAATGGCGTACTCAGACAGAGAAAAACAAACTATTTCAACTTATTATCTTAAAAATAATTTAAATATTTCAGAAACGGTTGAATTTAGGTATATGGTATGATATATGAAATATGCTTAGAATTTTACAAGGAATCGAAAAATATATTCATATATAGGGTGATCAATTAAAAAAAATAAACTTTTTGTTATCCCTGTATACTTATCAATTTTCCAATTTTCTTTATACGTAGAAAAAAAGTATTTTTTAGTTCCTACATAACCACACTTTTAAATTTTTTGGGACACTTAAAATAAAAAAGTTAAAGGGGGGCGACATTATAGGGGATCACCCTGTACAAAGCAACCAGGTAATAGGGACCAGAAAAAGGTAGGCAACCTAGCTGTTACATATTCAGTATGAATTCTGAATTTCTACTTTAAAACATAAAATAAAACGAAGCATTAAAAGCAGGGAATTTTAATCCTAAAAATATAATATCTAAAGTATAGTTTAAGTACGTAATACTTGAAACGTAAGGAATCTCAAATTAAAACGCCTAAGCTTAAAATGTTGTGGCTCGAATCCATCTCAAGTATCTGGAAATGTCGGTTAAAAGTACAGTAGCGGACTCGTTGCATACATATTTATTTTGAAGTGCAACTCCCAGGCTTACGACGCCTTTCAAGCGCCAAATAGGTTTCTGCTGCTGCTGTTGCTCTTGAGCGTTCTGCAAAGAGGCCACACCGCTTCCCGAATCTCCTACACAGTTCGATTCATCTGCAAAGTAAATTATAATTAAAAATTAAAATAGGTTTATTCAATGTATGTATGCATTAAATGGGGAAAAAGTGACGTAAAACCCATTTTGACAGTTATAATCTGTGGAAACACAGATGTCAAGTTGGTAAAAAATTAAAACTTCTTGACAGTTGTCAGATGTCAGATTAAATGTCGCAGATAATACTATTATACTATTATTATATAATAATAATAATAATAGTAGGTAGGTATATTATCATCCATTCACTCGGATGCGCATTATTTCAATTAAGTAATTTTAATTAAAAACAAAATTTACCATACTTTCTATCGATTTTTTCGTTTAAGACCCTCCTTGTGTACATCAAACAATCTTATCTGTTAGTGAGTTTTAACCTCACTTTTTCCCAATTTAAAACTCGATTGGTTTAAATTGGAGTAAATATTGAAATCGGCAAATTAGTAATGCCTAAAAACCTAGTTATAATGTTTACCAAACATAAACGAAAAAAAAACCAATAATGTCAATAATATACAAAGCAGTGAAAGTATGGTATGCAAATTTGTTTTATAACCTTCATTTATTAAAAATTCGCTCTGCAAGCTCCGCTTCCCAGATAGCACAAGATAACCCACAGACGTCCTATTTAGGTAATTCTCGGCTTAGCCAGACCGAACGGGTCTGGGACATCCATAGAACGTCAAGTCTAGACCCTGTCCGGCTTAGCCTGATTAGGCGTATTTTGGACGTCCAAAGTAAGCCAAATAAGGCTTAGCCGGACCAGGTCTATAATTGACGTTCTATGGATGTCCCAGACCCGTTCGGCCTGGCTAAGTCGAGAATTACCTAGATTGGACGTTCCTGCTCACACAGCACAGGACGTCCATTAGACATCCTTTGGACATCTTGTAGTACCTATGTGGGTGCACCCATGGGCTATCAAGCCTAAACTTTTCGTTCAAGAAATTTCGGATATGTAATAAATTGTGGGTAATATTAAATATCATGTACAAATTATATAAACCACCTATTTTTATGAGGTTTCTCTTTTGCCTTCTTTGGATGTTCGTGGGACAGCCTGAGGGTGTCACAGAGAGTCAATCAAATCGATTAGCCTTATTATAAGAAAGATTAATTTACAAAAAAATTAAGTTTATTATTGAATATAGGTAGTACATATTCGTACTATTCGTCGGGATTTATACATTTATATTTAATTTAAAATTTCTTGTTATCACGTACTTAAAGGTAGTAAAATCCATTGATTAATAAGTTCACTACTTCTTTACTCAACGCTATAACGTTTAAATGTATAAAAACACCGTTATTATAACGTATAGTTTTAAATTTTAAACATCGGTCTTCTTCGGGTAGAACCGAACGGGTTCGTGAAGACGCTTCCCATAATCCGTTGCAATGGCCGCAAGAACGCCATTGAATGGCGTTCTTTTGCTGTGTGATGGCGTTTATGGCGGTGTTTCTACATTGTGTGTTGTGATTTCTACTAGGTATTGGCTGTTTATAGACTTGTAATAGAATAAATTTAAGTAAGTAATTAGATTAGGTTTGTTTTGACTAATAGACTGTACCACACAAACAAAATTTACGGTTGCACTGATAATTGGGCGTAAACAAATCGTGAAAACAAGGATTTAAAAAAAATATTTTATAAAAACACATTTTTATTGTTTTTACTTTCCAAGGGATTTCTTCCTATACTTTCTAAATTTTATTTTATCCTCCCGAAGCCCTACATTAAAATTTTACAACAACCAAACTACAAAGTGAGGTTATCATTTTTATTGTTATCTAGAAAAGCTTTTATTTATTTAATATCTAAAAAAGCTTTTATTCCTATTTAACCGTGAATTTTTTTTATGTGGTGCTCATGAGCTCATATACCGTTCCTTCATTTGCAAGCTATACATAGCCTATGTCATAGGAAAAATACATTGTAGGTGGACCAGACTAGTTGAAGTCAGCGCAAAGCAAGGAATGTCTGTTCGAATTTACCGGCAGTGGACGTCCAATGGATGTCATTTGGACACTGAGATGTCCAGGGGATATCCTTTGGACGTCCTCTGGACATTTGTGCTGTAATTATAATATAGGTGAATAAAAATGTTTGGTTAAAAATTTTAGGTGTTTTAGTTTTTATTCCTGTCAGCCAAATTATGGCCAAATTTGGTCCTAGGACAGTCTTTAATAGACCATTATAGGACGGCCAAAGGACAACCAAAAGTGTCTACTTTGGAAGTCCTACGGACGTCCATTCGTGGTCTTCGGATATCCGTAGGACGTCCACTATGTCCTGGGTTGATGTCCTAAGGATATCCAGTGGACGTATGTGTGCATAATTAAACTCATGGCGTTTATTAAATTATTATTATTTATTAAATAATTTAATATTTATTTCGTTGCCATCAAAATCTAAACTGCCTTTATAGACAATAGTTATTTATGTCATTAGGTTAAGAAGTAAGGCTTTTTGTGCTAAGCTCAAAGTTTGAAGGCCGACGCGTAGCGGAGGCCTACAATTGAGCGAAGCACAAAAAGACACTTCTTGGCCGAATGGCATACAACATTTTATCTTCAAAGCACTTTATATAGGTCAATTTAAATCAACATGAAAGCGGCCTAACCTCACTTTTTTGAATCTCATTTATTTATTAGCTAAAGATTACATTAAATGTACAATAATTATTATTCCTTTTAGAAGCAGTAATAGTTTGACAATACCTAGCTACATGATTTAAGTAGAAATGGATTTTTGTAAGAAAATGGTTTACTTACCCTCTTGCTATTAAGTACATTGAATTCAATTAATTGATTAATAAATAGGTATCTAATTTGAATTTGTTTGCATTTTTATTTAAAAAATAGGTAGTTTGGAATGTTTACGCTGTGTTTAACATTTAATTTTACTGAAAACTTAAAGCAAATTAAAATTTAAAGATAATTTAAATCGTAGAAAAAGAAAACACAACTGTGAAACGTCAAATTGCAATGTCCTAACCTCACTTTTTGTTTTATTATTCATATTTAATTTTACAATAATTTAATGAAAAATATTAAACATTATAATGTTATAACAGTAAAACAAACAATTTAGTGCTTATTATAAATAAATTAAACCAGTTTAGTACGTTAATTTCTTAGAAAAGGATTAATTTGTCAAAACAATACCCCTAGCGAGAAAAAATCGAACTAATTACTTGCCTCATAAAAATTTTTATCGGCCTAGGCCATAACAAGGTATTTCTTTATCGAATGTTGACAACAATAAAGTTTAAATTATAGACCGCGTGGAGATAAATATCCTTATTTCCGGTTATCATTATTCCTGTCATTTTGACAACGAAAGAAAATATATTTGCTCTTTCTTCACGGTTACTGTCCAACGGTAACATTTATCAATACTATAACGATTATACGGTGGTTCATTATTTTCTTAAAAATTAATGGACACTGACATTGTTAATAAATCTGTGGTTATGGTAATTACACAAAATTGTACAGTGGTGGACAGCATTTCGAACATTATGATTTGGTTTTCCCTGTGTAATTCTGTAAATAGCAAAGATAATGATAATAACCATATATGGTGTTTTTTGCTTCAAAAATACAGTTTATCAAGATATACACTTTTAAACAAATTCAGTTAAAATCGCACAATAAATAAAGATTTTACAGAGTCGCAAACAAATGGGTCATACTATAATACATATGTAGGTATTTTTTCTGTTAAGTGGAGACTTTCTTAATTAACGCTTTTAATAGTGCTATATGCTGTTTGAATTAAGACGACTTATTTGTTTTATGATTTGTATTTAATTGAAATGTTTACAATTTGTACGTAAATTATTACTAAAATGTGTATTTATTGTATCTAATACCTAGGTACGATTTATATTTACAGGGACTTGCAATTTATTTCTCCATTCGGATTTCCACTGTTTATTGGGAAACCGGTAAAAACTTAACCCATGATTTCCTTGCATTTTGTTAAACAATATTACTTAGCATTGTGTTTTTTTCGATTTTTTTCACAGGAAAAATTAGATGCCCGAATGGTATTTTACAAGACTATTTCATGAGTAACAGTTATTCTGCATACACATAGCTTACAAAACATACTACCTATTATACATACATACATAATAAATATGTAGGTTAGGGTGTCCCTTATTTTTATTTTTTTTACGCATACCCTCTAATTATATTCATTACGTGTTTATATACTCCCAGTAAAAATTTCAGCTCATTCTATAAACGGGAACCCGTGCCGACTTGCATCTGAACCCTCCGTTAGCCAACGTTATAACGTATAACGTATAACGTATAACGCATATATGCGCGCGGTATTTTGTAATACGGTTGGTCGCGAGGTCTTCGATCGTAAGTCATTTTGTGTTTGTTATTATGTGACCCTTATATTATAAATTATTGACAAATGTTAAAATATTGTTTTATAGTGGATAGTTACCCGGAAGGGTCTGGTGAATAGGCCGTAAACTCTGAAATTGATAAACTTAATGGGTTTTACTCTAAATAACTAAAAAGAGTCTATTGTGAGAGATGAATACCGAAAACTTATTGAACTATCTGAAATATTTTTGGGAGGACATCAAGAAAAGAAATGCTTATAAAAAGCTGAAATTTCATATAACACTATATTTTAGCAATACTAATTATATTAATATATTTAAGGGATAAAATCAACTAAATTAGTGAAACAAATGATAGAAACAAAAGCAATAATATTAATTAGTAATCATATTTAATAAAATCATTAGAAAAATACAGTCATGAAGTATATCTTCTTTTTAAAGTGTTTCGTGTTACAAAATACCGCGCGCCTAACGGAGGGTTCAGATGCAAGTCGGCACGGGTTCCCGTTTATAGAATGAGCTGAAATTTTTACTGGGAGTATATAAACACGTAATAAATATAATTAGAGGGTATGCGTAAAAAAAATAAAAATAAGGGACACCCTAATGTAGGTATTAATTTGAAA